TATTTCAAGCAATTTTGCTGTCTTAACACAGGATCTGTTTCGGTGATTATTATGGAACAAGTGAAATGATGAAACAAGTGAGCAGACAACGAAATAACTGATACCCATCTCAATGAACTCAAAAAATTCAAAGAACGGGATGTATTAAGTGTATAAGAGCGATAAATATTTGTTCATCACTGCCGAAATTTGTTTGTCCTAACCACTTCATCAATTCAACAGTAAACAAGTTGTAAAAAGAAGGGCGCAGCATGGCCAGAAAGATGTACAAAAATCGAATCAGCACGCAATTTGTTTTGTTTGAGCATTGAGCTTAACGAGCAACATCAAACCAACACTACGAACCCTCATCCAGTTGAGACCATCACAAACGAATATCGACTTCGATTTCAGTTTCACATGCATTATGCCCGCCATTATCATATAAATTCGCAGCAAGTCCTCATCGATGTATTCAGCTGATTGTGACTGTATCCACGATTCTACCTGAAAATTTAATGGTTCATTCGCAATGCGCGACATCACCTCAAACTCCGTTAAATATTACCAACAACGAAAATGTCAATGACAATAATTATAGTATTACTGATTATTTCCCGCTAAACGCAAGTAGGAGGATAAATAATAACTAACTGCATCAACGCCATAACAATAACTAACAAACCTGGCGTCGGTATGTCGTTCGATCGGTTTCCAAAAAGGATGACATAGCGACTGCCAGCAAAGGAAGATTTATGTTGACAGCTTCGTCGACTGCATCAACAAGATTACCAGTCAACAAGTGAAATAAAATTCGTTTTTTACCGGACGCCGGTAACTTGAGATGTTTGGCAGCGATCGTTTCCCGTAACCAATAACCAACACTTTCACGCTGAGTAATACCACGAGTGTAGTCACTTGACGCTGAAAGTTTCTCTTCATATGATACATCTTTTATTGTTAATTTCAATAATTCAATAATAAGTTAATTTCAATATTCTCAACACGAATTCTTGAACAACTCCAAAACCAATCTAACAAAATTGTGTCTTCATTAATGACAATTCACTGACCATTCAGAAGTGATGGATGTGTGAACAAAGCACTACACAACTTCCAAACACTTTCTTCACGTGGCATTTTGCTTTGTTTTGATGTGGCTATGAATGAGTCGACCATCTGCGCATAATCCTAAAGTTTCTGTGTAATCAAATCCGAATTTTTGGTTCACCTTTTTGAAAAAGTGAAACAAATTGAATTGTAGAATATAATCATTGAGGGTTAGGAGAACGCAACGAAACAAAATGCAACAAACTTTTGAAGGTGTGATATGATCGATAGCTGTTGATGTCAGATCAGAGTGAGTATCGGCCGAATACTGCCGCACAGAATTACGACAACTTAAGCGTATGTTATGTTCGAATATATCGATTATATAATCCTAAAATAAGAACATAAATATCCTTTGCGCACACAACATATACAGAAAGAGTAAACATCACTATGATAGATTGTATCCTTGATTTATCCAACACACTTTATGTTCAGTCGACATGATTACATTCCCACCTACCAGTTTTAAACTACCAAATTTCATAGTTATTCAAGCGATTTATTCAGATGTCGACAGAAAACATTCGAACAAGTAGATAATTACCGACGAACACAAACCGTATCAGTTGGTCAGCTACAGACGTAATATGAAAGCTGCAGCTAGGTGCAAAAAAATGCAAACGAAAAACCAAAAAAAAGAGAATAATACCTGAGGCAGTTCATCCGGATAATCAATCTTTATCAAATGGACGTCAAATGATGCCGGTAATGCACTACTTACAAACAGTCCTCCTTCAAAATGTAATTCAGTCATTCGACTGATACTTTCTTTTCAGCAATTGTGAAATAATTGGAAATAATGTAAAACAGTCAGGGAACACATCTTTCGAAATGTTGAAACTGACAAAGCATGTTGAAAAATGTCGTTAAAATTGAACACAGAGTCATATACGTGCAAGAAGTTATTACTGCTGATGAAACGAAAGAGATGAATGAGTGAAACGAGCGTGAATGAAATGCTTTCGGATAAGTACAAATATCAACAAACCGTGTGTCCATCCGATTCGCGTACGACGAATATTAAAGAGCGATTGATCGACGAGTGTTGATCGTTTGGCTCTCATCTTCGTCACGAATGACTCTTGAAGAGGTATCGCGTATGCAATATCGAATTCGGGTTCTATCTTCTTTAGCTCAATTCGATGTCTCATCTTCTCGCGTTCTTTCCGCTCATCCAAAGGTTCAATCGCAAACGAATCTTCCATTACTTCAATCAGTTGCCTGCTTGCATCTAAAATCCTTTACGACTGTACGTTCCACGCTTCCGACAAAAACATCCAGCGTTCGATCACGAGAAATCAAAACAATTTGATCAATCTTTTATCTCGAAAAAATGAATCAAAAATCGACGTCCAACTCTTCAAATCTGATTTGATATTCATTTCTGAATTTGCGAATTCAACGATAACGATTCATTTGCAGACTCGCATTATTACACTACAACCCAAACTGAATGCAATTGGAAATGTAATCCGTATATCAGCTAGTATCGCTTGTCTTCTATACACTGCGCACTAAGGAATCAACGAGATGAAGAGAACGAAGACAAAACGAAACAATAATCGAATGGTCTTGAGTAAGCGTACCGTCAAGTGGCTCGACTTTCTGTTGACGTATCCGAAGTCCTTTCGCTGGCGTGAATGCAACTGAATCGATAGTTTGGTCGAAATTCAGTATTCCGCTCATTGGAGGCAAAGAATCGTACTTCATCTCATCTATTTTGAAACAAAACATCTTTTATTCAGAACATATGCACTAAACACTCAAACAGCTGTATTTCATATCCAGAAAATTTACATTTCTAAAGATCATAAAGGAATAATAATAACGACACTAACAACAAAAATCAAGACAATAACAAATATAACTAACCATATNTAAAGATCATAAAGGAATAATAATAACGACACTAACAACAAAAATCAAGACAATAACAAATATAACTAACCATATAAGTCATGTCGGTTAAATCGTGGTGTTGGTAATTCCGATATATCTGTTATCATTCGAATGTTCGAATCGCATGTCTAAAAAATGTGTCATTTTAACATCATCGAGCATTCACTGATGAATAATCATCGAGACTCATTTTAAGACGTATTTAAATTTTCTATTACAGATTTGAACCGTCAAGGGATTTACTTACATTAGAGAAAAGACTAGTGAAAGTATGAATGAAATCAAAAACCAAAAAAATGACAAATAATTATCATTAACAGTAATATTTACAGAAGCGATAATAATAATAATATTATTATTACCATTAATAGTAACAATAATAATAACAACAACAAGAAAACAACAAACATCAGCTGACTGCAACGTAGCAGACTGTTCAGGAGAAGAGCTGGACACATAACGGCCATTGATAACGAGTCGTTTCTGCTGATGCAGTGTTGTCTGCTTTGGCGACACCTTCAACTGGTCACGTTGTATCGCATTCTGTATGCGACTGTCGTCGAGAACACTGCGCAGTTCCGTTTCACTGCACAAGTTATCGTCGTCTTCATCACTCTCATCCTACAACATCAACACAAACTTTATCAATCAACTNAAAACAAATTCAGATGCAACACTAATGGCCTACGAACAGTATGAACATTATAAGTGATCACGATGAAAATTAGCGCGTGTCACGCATAGGAAATCGCCGATGGTTTGAACAACCAAGAGGATTCACGAGAGGATTCAAACCATCGATCTATCATATCAGATAAATGATGAGATTACAAATAGTCATCTATCTATCATCACGACATCATAAGAAACAATAGTGATAACGATAATCATATGAAAATTAACGAACCGGCAGACCGTATTTAGTGAAATGTGGCACCGTAAAGACCCAAGTGCCAGTTTCAGGACGATAATCCTTGAAATTTGCATCCATTCTCGCTGATACGCGCTCCAGCTTTTCACGAAAATGCATTCTCTCCAGTTCTATCGGATCCTAAAAGTGATGAAAATAAGCAATAAATCGTAAACATACCACTTTACGGTATCTTTGCGATCTATTGTTTATTTTATTTCGACTCTTTGCTTAGAACAGATTCAAATGCACCAGTAATGGGCTACGAACACGAGGGACATCACAAGCGATCGCAAAGAAAATTAGCGCATGTCACGCAGAGGAAATCGCACATCGAATATAAACCAAACACAAAACATAAACAACAAACATAAACCATTAATGTTGTGTCGAGAATGACAAATTCTTATTGTCCAAACATCAACATAAAGTAGTGTCCAAACATAAAGTTTGGTAAAATTTTTGATTGGTTGGTAGAATTTTAACATAAAATACCATGTAAAACTGTGAAACAACCGCACAAAACATTGAAACAATCAATGCAATGAACAGTTAATTTCACGCATACACACTGACATGGATAACAATCGCAATTTATTTATTTCGCACCAACTCCCTCATTTTTGCATTCAGATTCGTGCAATAAACCATTAAAGAATACTTAAAATCACTGATCTTATGTAATGAAGATTACAAAAAACTGAAAATTTCCAACCGTTATTGGTTCTTTAGTTTTTTTGTTCAGTGGCCAAACCCGTTCGAGACTAATTTCAGCGAATCGATTCAATTTTTCACCAACTGATGGCTTATTCGAATCATCCGGATATACAATCACTTCATTCTGACGGAAATGAACAACCTAAACTTTGAATTATTTCATAATCACATTACAACACACATCACAATCATTTGGACTGGCAAAATGAAAAAAATTCTTGTGGAAAATACTTCAAAATATTGAAACAACCTAGATAGGCAGGTGATACAATGAATGATCAGCGATTTCAGCCATCCATTTCTCTTTTCATTACCCGAATTTACATTAGTTTATTTTTAAAAAGGTACGGTCAGCCAATCGAATCCAATTTATGGAATGGGTGAGAAACTATGTTTC